GGATATGCTGATGAAGATACACTGAGTATTAAATAGCTGTGCTGTATTCCTCATAAAACGGTATATTAGAAGTAAGCTATTGATCTGTCAAATTCAACACATGACGAGCTTATTTTTTACTTTTTAAACATCATACCTTATAAGTCGTGAAACCTGTGTAATAAAGTTTTATTTCATGGTGTTGCATAAAACTTTACTATACTACACTGGTGAATTAAGAAACGGGCTTTACAGGTGGCCACTTGGCACTTTAGGCTTAATAATATGCCAAATATGTCAAAAAAGGGAAGGGTGAACAGTTTAAATGAGCTATTTCTGGGATGTTAATACAATATTAAGTAGTGTTAAACTCTTATTCAGATTTATGGACGCGCAGTTCGATAAGAAATTTTCCAAGAAATAGGTTCTTTTCAGAATTACAAAGGAAGACCTCCAAGGTGTATCGTTATTCCTTCCACTCCTATGCGATTTAAATATAAACTATATTAATAGTATTCTTAACAATTTTGGAAATAACGTATTTTACAAGAATGTCTTACCTATTCTAAAAGTTATATGCATTCTCGTAAAGTTTTGTGCATATATATATATATACACATTCAAAAGAGAGTTCAAAAGTAATTCTTGAAATAAAGTTTATGAAATAGCTAAGAGACGAATCTGCGCAAATGTAGCAAGATCGAAAATAATAAAATTTTTAAAAGAAAGGAAAAGTTGGAGCTTAAATGATTGTATATTATTTAATCCCTATGATTTGTATATAATTTAATCCCTATAATTTCATTTTAATAATGTTGCATGTAATGCCCTTGATGTCTCTGATTGTAATTAGTTCGTTTATCCTTTTTAGGCTTTATTAGCATTTTATTTTTCAGGTTTTTGCCTAAGAATTTTTCTGCGATTTTTAATTTGTGATTTTATTTTGTGCTCCTTTTATGTATTTCATTTTTGTAGTCCTGGGGTTTGCGAATGCATGTAGGAAAAAGTTCTGAAAAATTTGCCACGAAAATGTTGTTTTAAATTGAAAATTTGATTCGAGAATAGAGGTTTAGAGTCTCAAATGATTCAGAGGAACGAAACATGCATTCGGAACTCGTTAATCAATTTGGTTTAAGGCTTGAAAACACTTTTCCCCTGATAAGTTCTGCTTGAAGGTGATTAAAAAAAGACAAATTTTGATTATTATTATATTTTGTATTATCTTCTGTATTGTTTACGTATTTAAAGTTTAATTTTTACTTGCTCTCCTTTTGGGTTTCGGCTTTAAATGAGAAAGAATTGTTAGCGCCTTCATAGGGATTAAATCATATACAATCATTTAAGCTCCAAATTTTCCTTTCTTTTAATAATTTTATTATATATACATTCACTCATACATATAAATACATATATATTCACTCATACATATACACGTATATAATGTATATATACTAATTATTTTTTGGTACGGGGATACGGGGTTTCTAAACTCACTTGAAAATAAAATAATTAAATACGCTCAATGTATGTAAAATAAAAATAAAATGTGTGCCAAAAATTGTCTTCACTATAGCAAGCCTCGGACTACGCTAGACTTACTTGTATCTAATAATGAAGTGTGCGGGATTTACACTATTTAAAAGCCAATCATTTTAGTAAATGAAAAGTGATAAAAAATAAACATAGATATAATTAAGAAAGATATCGCTAGCAATCCTATCTGATATTTATGGTTATTTGTACATTTTGCTTATATTCTGTACATTTTCGGTACATCTGATTCTTTATTTTTTACTAAAACTTAGGTAACGAAAGTAATCTGTTCAAAAATAATTATAGCCGACTCTTTTTTGTGCCCTGCTGTCTGTGGCGACAACTTTGAGGTTTGATTTTATTTATTTTTAATTTTTATGATATGTAAATTATGACCCAAACCCGAAGCTGGTCAATTTGCGAAATGGTCGGCTTTTGCCAGCACTGGCCACCAAATGTGGCCGAAGTCCGACATATATAAAAGTTTACGATTCAGGTTTTGACTGGCCATTTCTAGGTCTGGCTGAAGAAAGAATTACCTTTATCTCACTATTAGTAATTTCTCTCAGAATTATCTTTATCTCACTATTAATGAGTTTTCTCAGAATTATCTTCTGTGTGGATGAAAGGTACATTCTTTATTTAATGTTACAATTTTATAAATGTTACAAGCTACACTTCATAATTTGTACGAAATCAAAAATTTGTATGAATACTTCCGTTGATTGCAAAAATAAAAGGCAAAAAAAAAAAAAAAAAAAAAAAAAGAATTAATCATGATTATAAAAGCAGTTTATCAGAGATATAAAAATCACAAGAAGCAGATCAATAATTGATAATCCTTACATTTATTTTGTAAATTCCTTGCTTATAAGAAATAAAATATATTTCCTGTTTTATGATATAACTATTAAAAGCTACTTTCCATCATTAGCATCGTCATGTGCATTAATAATAAAGTAATTTTAGAAAGAATTTTGAAGTATCACTTAATCAGAAATATCTATAAGATTCCTTGTGCTACAGAAGAAAGAAATGTTAGTAAAAGAACCACGCAGAAGCATTTTCTCGAAGATAAAAATCATATTAAACTGATGAACTAGCATGAAACTCGTAGCAACTATGTTCTACTTTTTTTTTAAAATTAACTTTTTACGTGTTTCTAAGTGTACTTTACAAGTGAAATGACAAATGTAATTTTTATCTCTTTGAGTAAATGTTTATAGCTGCGTTTTAGTAAGTGTTTGGGACAAGTAGCTTGAAGTACTACGCGTTTATACATAAAGACATACGTCTGTATATCATATATGTATGTGCAGGAAGAACACCTTCAAAAACCGATAATCCTTTTACTTTTTCATTGCAATATATAACACTGACTTTGTTCGATAATATCAGGAGCAAAAAAGAAAACAATGAAGTATTTTCGATTTTTTCGACATCGATTGCGTTTGTGGGAGGGGAAGCAGAAGAAATGTGGTGAAACATATTTCAAGTTTCTTTTCCGAAACTGACACTTGAAGAACGGATATAGTACTCGCTCGCTTCCCTAATGCTCCGTTGGGAGATCATATATCAGATGAAGAAACTTTTTTTCAAACAGAACCCTAACTTTTTGTCTTGTTCGATTGCAGTACGACTTGATACATTTTCATTTTTTCAAAGATTTCGTCTCCTATTGGAACAAGAAATTACGGATAAATAGAAGTGTGTCCGATAACTTATAAATTACGATGCTTATCAGTGGCATACCCAGAGGATCTACCGCCCTGAGTGATCCCTGAATTTGCCGCCCGGGAAGATCCCTGGATTTGATGTTCCTTTCGATACACAAGCAAATACGAAAGTCAGATGACATATTAAGAAATAAATTAAACTTCCGTGTTTCTTTTTGAAGTAAAATTTCAATTAAAAAGTATTGGCTCTGCATTCATATTTTGTGGTGTTGCACGGTTAAACAATTTGGTTAGAATGACCTGTGGGCTATTAAAATAATCATCTCTTCAGAAATGTTTTTACCTTTTTGCTATCTAATTTGCATTTGCTCACATTTTTTTTTTTATTCCTAACACAATTTATTCGCTTTTCAAGCTAGAATAAATTCAATATTAATATTTTAACCACTTCATCAAATGCTCTTCTGCATACGTTTAAATAATAATTTATTTAAAAAAAATTAAGCAGTTTCTTTTGACAGATAAAATACTTTTTCAATGAAAATTTATGATAAATTATTTCTTTTTTACCGTTAAAATTTAGATCCATATTTATAGTTCAGGCTTTAAATCTCATAAAATTAAATTGATATCGAATATGTCTATGTTCATGGACCATTAAACACTGCGCTTGTATCTCTGTTATGCCAAGACTGGATTCTGTGACCTTTGTGTAGGTGGGTATGTATGCGTGAATAATGTTATCTCTACACTACCGTTAGGTCCTTTTACCAAATGTAAAGTAACAAATGAAAATTTTAGGTTTTCTTTTCAGCTTTATTTCCTTTAAATTATTTTTTAAAATTACAACTTATTAATTGATTTAGTCCTTTCTTGACATAACTGCATTATAATACACTGAGTATAGTTATGGATGGATGTTAAACTTATCCAGATCTTAAAACCTATTTAGTGTGTTGTGGAATATTTTGGCGCATTAGAAAGTTAGTTTTTGGGTCATATTGATGCAGGAAACCCGAGAAACGTGCAGCGCTCTCGGCGGGATTCGAACACCGCACCTTCCGATTGCCAGCAGTACGTGCTATCCAGAAGGCAGGCGGAATGACAGCAGATCTTATAGGAGAGTAAATAAAATTTCAATAAATTTGAATAATTATTAAAACAATGGAAAAGAGGCGGAAAGACACAACAAAATCTTAAAGAGTAAAATTTCAATAAATTTGAATAATTATTAAAACAATGTGTAAAAGGCAGGCGGAAAGACAACAGACAAAATCTTATAGGAGAGTAAATGAAATTTCAATAAATTTGAATAATTATTAAAACAATGTGTAAAAATATTTTATGAAACATCGACCGTTTTCAGAGAGGTACTCATTCATTAAAATAAGGAAGGAACTGTTATGATTTCAGTCCCAAACCGCTGTTCACAAACTGAGTTTTACACGTTAAAATTTTTTACATTATTCTGAATGAAACGCTTTACATTTTATTTTGAGATAATAAGCTGCCTGTCAACCGATATTTATTGAATCCGTGAGAAATGAATCTTTAGGCAATTCCTGCGACGAAAATTTTTGAAGTTTGCTATTAGCTCGTAAAAGTGTATACTGCTAGTTATACACCTTCGTATCAAGTACATGCTTAAATATATGTATCTATATTAGATTTGTACTTTGTCATTAGGTGTTGCAACGTTTACCCCTGTCGATCAAGTCTCTTATATTAATACAAAACAAACTTCTAAAATTATTTAGCACTTTTAATATTGACATTGAAGTTTATGTAATAATTATTACTTATTCTTTGCAGAGCAATGGTCTTCATCGCCCATGGTTACGCGGAACACTGTCTGTTGTATGAAACACTAGCTCGTACTCTTGCCTTGAATAACTTTTTCGTCTTTACTCACGACCATGGTAAGAATGAAGCGATTCTTGAAACATATTTGTTTTTGAATGAAGCTTCTTCATGTTGTTTAAATATAAATTGAAATTCATTATGCTATATATTTAAATTTTTTTTAGCTCTATTGCAAAATCTATTTCTTATCCTGAAGTGCCGATGTTTTAAGTTGGTGAACTAATTTCTTCTATGAAAATAGCTCTCGTGTCAATTTAAGTCATGTCAAGTTAGTTCAATGACGATTACTAAAACAGGTCATGTATAAATCCTTGAAAGTAAAAAGATTAAAATTATTAACAAAGAGAAATTTTCTAGACTGTTGAAATATTAGCGTATATTTTTTAAGTGCATGCAAACCCGAAGCACAGCAATAGAATTTAGATTTCCTTAAGTAACAGTCTTGAACTCCTTTCAAACACAGTATTTTGTAAACAGAATGGAATTACAACATATGTTTTCAAGCATATAAGAATCGATTGTTCAACATTTTTCCAGTTCTTTACTCAGAAAAACTGATACTTCTTTTTGCAATATTTGTAAGGAAGAATTTAATGTTTTGATCTGAATGGAAGCCAGAGAAATTGTCTTTGAGGAATAGTTTATTATTCAAATTTGAATCGGAAGCCCGAAAAGTGTAACTGAGAGATTTTAGTCAGAACTTGCTAGATAAGAATGAAATAACCGGAATTCTGAAGTATCTTTGTAAAGAACACAAAGAAATATTCAATGCCGGAGATGAATACAAATATTAAATTCTATTGAACAGATATATGGATGCATTTACTTCATTTTGTAAGTTGAATAACGTTCTTATGATACAATGGCTATTTAATCAATGTGCAGAGATCGGAAGAATTAGAAATAAATCAGAAGCCAAAAACATGAATAGTAATAATCCAGTACAGTAATAATGTGTTTGACATTTTTCTCAGAAATATATAATATATCGGCACTGTCGAAATGGTAGAATTTTAAGCTATAAATACAGGAAAGTTGTTTTTCGTTCCTACATTAAGATATGGCTTTAAAGAGTTCCAATTTCAAAGCACTTAGTAATATTAAAAAATCCTTGCATCATACCCTAAAGGTCAATTGATGGGAAGATATTTCAAAGTATACGGGTATGATTTATTAAAAGTTTTATGATGAGAGTTTTTAACATTGCGAAAGTTTACATTGTTTGCTATCTATTCCTTTTTTTTTTTCCAGGCTTAGAAAGATAGTCTGTTAAATGCTCATAGTCTGTTAAATGCACATTTAAAATTTTTTCTTGGGGCTTTAATTGCAAGATCATGCTTATTACTAAACGTGATATAGTTTAGTTGTATAGTGGCATTCCTCAGTTAGAGATCCCTATTGTATTTTAGTAATGGGTCCCTCCAATGCGTTAGTAATTACATTTTTTGAAATGGCTATAAGTACCATTTTTACATAATAGTCACTTCGCATGCATCTTTTAAGTTTTGGTGGCACGTAATGGTTCAGTTTTAGAATCAAAATAAGAAAGTGAAATTATTTAAGTATTCGAATGAAAATAAAATTATTACCGTCAGTTTTTAATATAAACTGCGAAATGCTTGCTTCTAAAAATGCATTCTCTTTGCAAAGAACTCTGTGAATACAAAATGTTAATAAAATTTTCTTTGTTTAAGAAAGGTGAAAGAAAAGCGTCCTAAAAGGCAGCCGACTTCGTGTTTGTATAGACAATTTTAGACTATTCAAAAGTCATCGAATGTACTAATGACAAAAATGTAAGCAGGAACTCTTTTTAAAATTGTAATAAAAATAGCAGCACTGCCTCCCGCCAAACAATAAAATGTCAAAAACTGTTGAAGTCTTGCATCATTTGTGCAATAGAAGTATTTTACTATATTATTAAACATATCCTAAAAGTTTTATAACATTCTTAAAAGAATGTGTAATTCTGAAATGTCTTTTATTCATATTAAAAGTCTCATTAGAAATTTGAGCATAATTTTATTGTCCAATAAGAAAATTTTTAGAATACCACTTTGTCGCTACGTTTGTTTCAATTTTAGATATAAATATCTTATTCACCTCCGACCCTTTTGTTCCTTATATCTCTGAATATACCTTAAATATTTTTATTTTTGTTTCTCTTTAAGGTTTTAAAATAATTCACTCTCGATTACTTACATTTATCACATCCAAGACTAAGATACCCTAAACCACCAATTCATAGAGATCATACATTTGTATTTCATAACAAACGTTAGCTTTAGTAATCAAATTTCCTTTTTGGAAAGATGAAATCGAAGGATACTAGACTTCGCTATTTATTATTATTATTTTTAAACAACTGTACTTGTTAGTGATACGATTAACATGAAGGTTGCCTACTGTTGCAAATAATGAGAAAAGCCATAACAAATTTAGATTAAATAACCATTCTTTAACGTACCTCAGATTTTTACCACCTTAATTTTAACGTTACTTTAACTAACATGAGGATTTTATTTAACTACAATAAGCATTTCCTTTGATTTTTTTAATTTTTCTGCTGCATCCAAATACGGAACCCATGGAGAAAATAGTTCCTTCTTTTTTTAAACAGTTTAGTTTCTAAAAAGTCTCATTCTCTTTCTAGAATATAGATGGCGCCATCAACTAAGCAGATGTGATAAAGCGCTCCAATTTAAGCATACCTTTTAAGTTAATTCTGCCTCCTTAATTAGACTATATTCCTTAATTATCCTCCTTAATTATTCTTTGATTGAGCTGTTGAGGGAAAATGGCTTATGAGTATTTATTTCAATAATCATAAAGTTATTTGAAAAAACTTTTTTTTCATGCATGCATTAAATTAAAAAATTTAAATTTTTAAAATTATTAAAAAAATTATTTCTGAAATGTCATTCATATTTTCAGCAGAGTTTTAAATTGCGCCGGAGCCCAAATTGGCGGTACTTCCTAGATTTTAGGACAAATTATAATTCTAGCCGGAGCCCTAAATAAGAAGGCTCTGGTACTTCTTTTATGGCATTGAACAACAATTTTAGTAGATATTTGATTTCGAAAATTTTATTTTTAACAATAAAATTATATTAAAATTACTTATTAGATTTATTAAAATCAGAGATAAATTTAAAAAAAAAGACGGTGAAAGTGCAAAATCGCCCACTACTTGGCACGTTTTTAAGAATTGCGCATACTCGGTATCCATGTACACGTGGACCTATTTTCATTTAATAAAAATCCCAGAATTGCACAAAAATGGCATTGTGTACTCCCTTGACTTTTTCCATGTACACATCGACCTATTTTCACTTAAAAAGTCAAAGAAAATTGACAAAAATCCAATTCTTCTTGCTCTTGTAAAAAGCGCCAAATAAATAAGTGAGCGATTCTGCACTTTAGCCAAAAGGACAAAAAAGAAAATCTGAAAGGTTTCAGATTTTAAATTACCTCCAAAGAGGCTTTTTTTAAACATTTTGTGTGTTATCTTTAATTATTAAATATCCTGTTCTTTGCACTTAAACCATAAAATTCAAAAATAGGCGCTGTTGGCGACTATAACGTTGCCAATGATCAGAGCCGGCATTATAAGCAATAAAGAGCAGCGGTTTCTCGTTTAAAACGGCATTTCTGAAAAAAAAAAAAAAAAAAAAAAAAAAAAAAAAAAAAAAAAAGGTAAAAATGGTGCCTAAACAGCAAAAGGCATTTTTCGTATTATAATTTGTATGATGTCAAGCAGATGCAGTTTTGTAGTTATTTGGTTGGCTTAAAACAGCCGGCATCTTAGCCATATCTCCAGATATTATCCCTCCACGACTCTTTGCACTTAAACCATAAAATTCAAAAATAGGCGCTGTTGGCGACTATAACGTTGCCCATGATCAGAGCCGGCATTATAAGCAATAAAGAGCAGCGGTTTCTCGTTTAAAACGGCATTTCTGGAAAAAAAAAAAAAAGGTAAAAATGGTGCCTAAACAGCAAAAGGCATTTTTCGTATGATAATTTGTATGATGTCAAGGCAGATGCAGTTTTGTAGTTATTTGGTTGGTTTAAAACAGCTGGCATCTTAGCCATATCTCCAGATATTATCCCTCCACGACTCTTTGCACTTAACCATAAAAATTCAAAAATAGGCGCTGTTGGCGACTTAACGTTGCCCATGATCAAGCCGGCATTATAAGCAATAAAGAGCAGCGGTTCTCGTTTAAAACGGCTTTCTGGGAAAAAAAAAAAAAAAAGGAAAAATGGTCCTAAACAGCAAAAAATCATTTTTCGTATGATAATTTGTATGAGTCAGGCAATGCAGTTTTGTAGTTATTTGGTTGGTTTAAAACAGCTGCATCTTACCATATATCTCCAGATATATCCCTCACGACTTCTTCCTTTCAGGTGTGAGAAAGGTCAGGTATTCACTCAACTTAAGCGCCCCCCTCCAAGGTTAATCAAAGATAAAAAAAAAAATAAATAAATAAATAAATAAAATAAAAAAAAAATTCTGAAGAAACAGTTATCATTAGCGCACATCTAGCAAGAATTTCGATAATGGCAATAGATAGATAAATAACTAAAAGAAGTCATATCGAATATTTGTAAAAATATTTACACATTTTTCTTTTACATTCATGTATTGCTTGCCATTCTATATTTTTAACATTTAAAATTAAAGCAATTTGAAATCTAATGATTTTTTGTAGTTTCCCTGTAATAATGCTCTACCAGAATCTTCTACAGTTGTTTTCTCTCACCTTTCTATATGCCTTCATGATGTAATTCACCTCTTATTCAGCTCCTGTGTTAAACCCATAACGGTTACCTTTCTTATATCTTTGGCTAATGCTCTTATTCAATTCGTTTTTCTTAATTATGATGTGGAAGTAATTGCAATTAATTTGCAAAGGTACTTCGTAACCAAAACGCCTTGGTCCTTGGTTGTGATGTAATTGGGAGCATACTCGAGAGGTCCAGAGTTCGAATTGCGCTTTTTTCGTGTCTCCTGCTTCAAAATAACCTAATGATTCTACAAATGGCGCCGAACTAAAATGTGGTGGTCTATAAACCATCATCACCACCGTAACGGTTCCCTTTCTTGTATCTTTGGCTAATGCTCTTATTCAATTCATTTTTCGTAATTATGATGTGGAAGTAATTGCAATTAATTTGCAAAGGTACTTCGTAACCAAAACGCCTTGGTCCTTGGTTGTGATGTAATTGGGAGCATACTCGAGAGGTCCAGAGTTCGAATTGCGCTTTTTTCAAGTCTCCTGCTTCAAAATAACCTAATGATTCTACAAATGGCGCCGAACTAAAATGTGGTGGTCTATAAACCATCATCACCACCGTAACGGTTCCCTTTCTTGTATCTTTGGCTAATGCTCTTATTCAATTCATTTTTCGTGATTATGATGTGGAAGTAATTGCAATTAATTTGCAAAGGTACTTCGTAACCAAAACGCCTTGGTCCTTGGTTGTGATGTAATTGGGAGCATACTCGAGAGGTTCAGAGTTCGAATTGAGCTTTTTTCATGTCTCCTGCTTCAAAATAACCTAATGATTCTACGAATGGCGCCGAACTAAAATGTGGTAGTCGATAATTCATCATCACCACCAGAATTTGGCAATTAGGTTCTGTAATCCCCAGTCACCTTATAAAAGAGGATTAAATAATGTATTTTCTCCCGCCTTTCCGGATGGCTTTCTATTGTAATTGGAAGCATAATCGACGTTGTCCAACTCGACGTGTATTCGAGAGGGCCTGGAGAGGGCATTGCTAATTTTTCATATCTCCTGCTTCAAAATAACCGAGTTACTCTACAAGCTTACTTTCCAGATCCATGTCGAAATTGGTAGAGAATTTGTGTGCGGTCTTCATTTAGTTTCCATTTGTTTTTAGTTAAGTTCAGATGTTTCACGCTGTACATATGATTCCCCATAAACGCTGACAGTTTGCAACTCATATCCAGTTTTGGATTACGTATTCTAAAAATGGGTGGGAAATAAATTGTTCACAAAACCAAATACTGAATGTTAAAAAATATTCAGGACTAGAACGTTAATATCTTCGAATATGCAATTGAATATTTAACTGTTAAATTTCATTACGTTGCATGTTTACTGTAGTTTTTCAATTACTGTAATTTTAATTTGCTAACTGTTTTGCATATTTCTAAAAAAATTCTGATTTCTTATGTTGTCATGACAAAATGAAAACAATTTTATGATGAATGACATAAAAATATCGACAGAAGACATAATGGTTAAAAGTTTATCCCACTTTTAAAGTTATTATTTCAAGGAACTGAAATCCAAAGTAAAATAAATTTGATCACATAGAATTTGATCACATAGATCACATAGATCACATAGTTAGAATTATGTATGTTTAATTACGTCCATAAGTATAGGCATTAAGTTCATAAGTGCAGGCTTGTTCATAAACATAGGTTTGTTTATAAGTATAGGCTTGTTCATAAATATTGGCTCATAATTTTAGGCTTGCCTCGTCAAATATAATTTCCTGCTTTGGAACTTTGTTCAGCTTTTAAAATCATCATTCGGTATAATAAATTAAACAGAAGGTAAAATAAATTATGTTTCAACTTTATGTCATATTAAACTGAAAGTTATGAATGAATTAAGAGCTTGGTAGGACGAACTTCTCGTATGTTTGCAAACTTGTGTCATAGCTCAGTGTTGAATATTTCAAACAATTTTAAATGTTACTTAGATTATTAAATTTAAGAACCGTTTCCAATCATTTTAAGAAACATGGAATATGAGATCATAATAAATCAAGAGTAATATAAGTAGTAATCTAATTTTTAAATCACTGATTTTGCTTTATGCTATATAAGAAAGTAGGAGAAAACGAAAATGACGACTGTGTTTCATAAGATTCATATTCATCTAAACTTTTTAATCCTGCCTCCAAAATAGAAAGTTATATTATGAAAAGAAATATACTTATGAACTTTAAGAATAACTTGAGGTAATGACGTATTATACCTCGTTGTTTCTCGTAACAGCATTTCGAGGAGCTTTGTATCTTTTAAGACCTAAATATTAATGCCATAACGGTTTATATAATAACAGTATAGAATAAAACATTTGGAATAATCATTTGTAGTGATTACTCCTTCAGGTTTGGCTACATACTTTTCAACATAAATTAGACATCAATAAAAGTAGCAAACAGATTTTAGACACACAAAACTGGTAATGGTATTTAATAATGTATATGCATTGCTATATATGTACTTGAACGTATTATGAATATCCTTTTACTCTGTTGCAATATTGGTGAACCGAATACCAGGTTAATCAAAAAAGTTCATAATTCTTTTTCTTTACGATATACAGCCCGGTTCGAGGGGAAAAAATAGAGTGATAATTTTAATATAGTTTAAACCAACTTGGCTGCGAATTTGAATTTATTATCAAAAATTCAAATTTTAAATTTTGAATGATTGATGATTTTAAATCTAACACTGCTATTTTTTACGCAGTGGGACATGGTCAAAGCGAAGGACAGAGAGCCCACATCGATTCATTTGATCAGTTTGTGGACGACGTCTTCAAGCATATTGACATGACAAAGAAAAAATTCCAAGACCTATCATGCTTCCTTTGTGGCCATTCAATGGTAAATATAATTTTTTTCATGGTAATATTCAATAGTATGATATTCAATGGTAAATATAATTTCGGAAGTTGACAAATTCGCATATCTTGTCAGGACTTGTGTTTCTCTTGATTTGCTTTGGAAACATGATGTGTCCTGAATAGGAACAGGGAGCTTATTCAAGCTATGTTCAACAATGTGGGGAGTAGACAACACAAGCAGGAAGCGTATACGAAACACTTTATTTTCAATACTTTACAGGTACTCCCGAATTTCGGGGTACAGAGACCAACCACTTGTGGTCTGAACGTAAGAATATAAAACTACTAACTAAAACTCTAACTAAAAGCTAACTTGAATTAGTATACAAATGCCTAGCACTAAGACTGGCCTTTATTTAAAAGGGTACGTATGTAGTACGCCGAGCTGCTGAAACTACAATACGTTTTCAAATATCAAGAGGGCTAAATCTCTGGCCTTAAAGGCAACCAGCAACTGAGTGAAGACTCGTAGAACTGCAGTGGCAAGCGGCTTGCTTCCTAAATCTCCTTCTCTCTCCCTAACTCTTGGCACAACTTATATACTTGGGCGTTAGCAAGACAAATTGCATAAACAAGTTAAAGCATTTAATTCTGACCGGAAGTAGAAAATAAGAAGTAATAGTACAGTTTTAAAATAAAATAAACGTTAGTAAAACTTAGGATCCTTACAATCTTAAAACATTTTTTACTGATCACGCAGCCAATTTTGTTTCAGGATTCGAATTATGTAACGATAATTATAACAACTCCATAATAATTCTGAAAGATAGGTTCGGAAAAAGAGATATCATTATAAATCCCTTCATGAATGAAGTACTAAACTTAGAAGAAGTAAAAAATTCTTCCAATGTTTCAGCATTACGCAGAATTTATGATGACTTTAAGATCTCTATTCGAAATTTAGAGGCAATAAATATTCCATCAAGCTCTTTCGGACATTCCTTAATGCCAATTTTTCAAAAACTCATGCCTCAAGATCTAATTTCAAGAATTTAACAAGCAAAGGAATGAAGGCGACGTTGACGTTCTAAAATTCATTTATTAAAGAAGGGGGGATTAAAGAAGGGGTCGAATGTCGCGAAAGTACTTTATTGGCTTGTGGTGAAAATAAAACATTTACTAATTATTATAATTAGAAAACTGTAAATAAAAGACGCAACATAAATACAGCCACGGCTGACATTTAGCATTACAGTACAACACATTTAACACTACAGAACAGCAAGTATGCATCTTCCGTGAAAAACAATACTGTTCTTCTAAATGTTGTAATGAGATAACTGAGAAAATGAATATTATTAAAGCACATAATTCTTGTTTTAAATGTTTTAAGAAATTTCGCGAGTTGTTTTTGCAGATATAAAAAAGTATGTAATAAATGTATAAGTTATTTCTCCCGCTTCCTTAGCGTACCTTCGTGGTGTAGTGGTTCTGCACACTGTGACGGTATTTCAGAGGTCCGTGGTTCGATTCCCGGCAAAGGTGGTTGTTAATTTTTCATCTTTCTGCTTCCAATTAATCTAATGACTCTACAAATGTAGCGGCAAAAATCATCATGAATCTATCTGCTTGATAAAATAATGAGGAAAAATCAATAATTTATCTGAAAATGAATCAATTGCTCGAGTTCAAAGAAGGAATTTTCAGTTTCAAATGTTAGTACTAACATTTTAGTTTTTTTTCAGGGTAAAATTCCTTTTTCGAAAAAATTTTATTACAAACATGTACTTTGGCTTGCAACGAAAATGAAAGCGAAAAATCGTTTTATGAAAGATACCTAAACGAGATCTTTAAAATTAGAATCTATCCGAAATGAAAACTTGTCAGTTTTTCCGTTTGGAACTAAGAAACCTATAACTGAGAATTATCCTGTGGTCATTATTGAATTAAGAAATGGAAATCAAAAGAGTAAAATAAAATCGGAATGCTTAATGATTAACACGATATCACTTTATCCCATAAAGAGTTCCAGACATAATACGCTTGAAAAAATGAAGTGCTTGCATTCAGCGGATCTTCTGAGTGTAAACAACAGTTTCCACAAGACATGAGAATAACCAGATTCGACCGATTCTGGGGTGTGGTGCTGACAAGTCGAAAACGCATAAATTAATGTTGGTTTAATCCACGGTTAACATTTATTTAATGCTAATTAAATCAATGTTGGTTTAATCCACGGTGTCAGATGATTTGAGCGTGTTTTGGCAGCTCGATTCTATGGGAATAAAAAGTGAAGGCCAAAATGAATGAATTAAACTTATAGTGACCTACTGGTTTTGAAAGAGATATGCGATTTATAAACGGGCGATACGAATGTAATTTATTGTGGAAATCTACTACTGAAGAACTGGAAATAATTTTGATATCACAAAAAATCAGTTTGGATTTTTAAAACAAAAATTACAGAAAACTATATATAAAATATTGCATAATTATAAGGAAATTATTTAAGAGTATATAAAGTATTTCTTCCGCCTTCGTGGTGTAGTGGTTCTGCACGCTGGGCCGGTATTCCGGAGGTCTGTGGTTCGATTCCCGGGGAAGGTTTTTGCTAATTTTTCATCTCTTCTGCTTCCAAAAAAGTACCTAATGTCTCTACAGTGGCGCCCGAACTATTAAGGATATGGATGATGATTTTCCACACCCAGGATTTGGTGATTGGGTCCGCTAAAAACCCCAGTCGCCCTTTAAAAGGAGGAGTATGTAAGGTATTTCTCCCCGCCTTCCTAGCGTGCCTTCGGGGTGTAGTGGTTCTGCAGCTGGGCCGGTATTCCAGAGGTCTGTGGTTCGATTCCCGGCGAAGGCATTTGCTAATTTTTCATCTCTTCTGCTTCCCAAAAAAAAAAAAAAAAAAAAAAAAAAAAAAAAAAATACCTAACGTCTCTACAAGTAGTTAAGGGAAAACTAGCCGAAGAATGCTGTAATGAAATCAGACTTTCTCAGTATTATATGCTGCATCGTGTCGTAATTCGCGATTCTGAGATTAGCGTCCGTGTTGTTTTTGATGCTTCTTCGAAGGCAAAAAAATTTGAATCTTTAAATGAATGTCTAGAAATCGGCCCAAATCTGAATCCGAAAGTTCTTGACGTGATCCTGAGGTTTCGTGAACGTGAAATAACGTTTTCTGGAAATTTGGAAAAGGCATTTTTAATGACTGGCATTGCAGAAGAAGATAAAAATTACTTAAGATTCCTTTAGATTGGGATTGATGACCAGCCATGTATTATTCTGCGGATGTGTCGAGTCCTGTTCGGGGCAGCGATTAGTCCTTTCCTATAAGCTGCTGCAATAAAATGTCACATTAAAAGGTATAAAGAGGACCATACCGAGAGTTTTTAAATGCTTAATTTTTCTATTTACGTTGACGACTTATTTTATGGAGGCAAAATTGTAGAATATGCATACCGATTGATCGTAGATGCTGTAAATATTTTCTGAGATGCAGATATGAATTTGAGAGATTTAAAATCGAATTCAGAAGAATTAACTGCTTTATGGATAAGCTCAAGCATTAAAGCGAAAGATAATATCAACAAAGAAACACAATTTTTGGGTATGTTTAAGATCCTAGTAATGATGCAATCAAGCTAAACATAAAACTAGTTCAGGAATAAATTGGAAATGGTGAAGGCGACAAAACGACATGCTGAAAACTGTCTCCAGGATATTTGACCCTATCTGCTATTTGCAGCCATTTGTTTTTCGGGCTAAAATCATGTTGCAAAACATTTGTCTTCTAGGTTTAGAGGGGGATGTTGTACTTCCCACCGATATGAAAGAAAGGTGGACGGACTGGTGTGCTTGAAATTTTTAAAAATCCCTGATTTCCCTAGAAAATTCTTCCACGACATTAATTATACGCAGCTGAGTGTTCACATTTTTTTTTTTTTGTGATGCCACACCCAGAGCTTTTGGAGCAAAAGCATATTTTGACATGCTGATGAAAATAAGGAAATTAAAGCCAGTTTCATAGTGGCAAAAAGTAATATAACTTCCCTCAGATCCTTAACCCTCCCTAGCTAATGGGAGCGGTTGTAGCTAGCTGCTCGCTAAGCTAAATATTTAAAACACATCCTACCTATTTTAAGCAACAATATTATTTTTTGGAGTGATTCCCAAATAATGTTACATTGAATAAGGAAATCACCAAAATGTCTGAAAGCCATTTGTTGGGAACCGCGGAGCAGAAATCCAAGCAGTTTGCAACGCTAACCAGTGGTACCATTGCACTGGAAAAGGTAACCCCGCAGACTTGCTATCTCGAGGGGGAACGAGTGAAATGATCATCTCAAGTCCGTTATGGGAAAACGGACCAAGTTTCCTTCTCGAGTCTGAAAATTTGTGGCCTAAGATACCAAACATCGAGGCAAATAAGGACGAGATATCCGGAGAAAAGAGGAACACTCTCAACATCCTAGAAGCTGCCAACTTTAACAAGAACATAGCGCAAAATTTTAATTCATTGCTGGATTTAAATTATCCATTTAAATTATCAAATTAAGTAAGTTATACCGAATAACGCTTTGGCTATATAAATTCATTAGTAATTCTAACCCTAGATCCGAAAGACTTCGTGGATCATAACCGCTCCTGAAATAATGATTACAGAATTATATTGGCTTGAAAACACTCAAGTTTAGTATTTCAAAAAAGAAATCCTCGATTCATCTGAAGGAAAGTCAATAGACAAAGGGTCCAAAATTTACTCACTGAATCCTTAGCTCGACGAATACGGACTACTACGGTTAAAAACAGAATACAACTTGAAGAGTGTTTGGAATCTGCCAAGGAACCATGGACACTGCCGTGAAAGTGCCGATACGTCAATCTGTTAATTTTCAGCTCACAGGAAAAGGTTTTGAATTTCGAAATGGATTCCACTCTGACGTATCTGCGTGAATAATTTTAGGTTGTCAAAGGGAAACAACGAAGTAAATACTTGTTGAGCAGATACGTGATTTGCGAAAGATATAGTGTTCG